TGGAATAAACGTTATTTAATTCAAGTGTTTATTATTTAATTGACACTAACAAACATTTAATATGAAAGTGTTAACTATTTTGTAAACAATGTGTATGTCTTAATGTTGTAAGTCATAGTTTATTATTGTTAACTAATGTAGTAACAGTTTACCTTAATGCAAAGCGTTGCCAACATATTACAGAAAAAAGGCAAAGAAAGAAAGAGAAAAAAAAAAGAAAAGCAAAAAAAAATAAATAAATTCGGAATATTAATTGAACTGCAAGCCTCTAGAAGATGCAATATTCATAACACAATGAATGTGAAGTGATGGTCGCTAATAAACGTGACGATGAAATGATGGTGAAGTGATGGTGGCTAATAAAAGTGGCACTAAAGTGGCAGTGAAGTGATGACCGCTAATAAAAGTCGAGGTGAAGTGATGGTGAAGTGACGGTCACTAATAAAAGTGGCTGTAAAGTGGCAGTGAAGTGGTGGTCGCTAATAAACGTGGCAGTAAAGTGGCAGTGAAGTGATGGTGAAGTGACGGTCACTAATAAAAGTGGCAGTAAAGTGGCAGTGAAGTGATGACTGCTAATAAAAGTCGAGGTGAAGTGATGGTGAAGTGACGGTCACTAATAAAAGTGGCTGTAAAGTGGCAGTGAAGTGATGGTGAAGTGACGGTCACTAATAAAAGTGGCAGTAAAGTGGCAGTGAAGTGATGGTCTAGTGGTGGTGAAGTGACGGTCACTAATAAAAGTGGCAGTGAAGTGATGGTAAAGTGGTGGTCGCTAATAAAAGTGGCAGTGAAGAGATGGTGAAGTGACGTCACTGATAAAAGTGGCAGTAAAGTGGCAGTGAAGTGATGGTCGCTAATAAAAGTGGCAGTGAAGTGATGGTGAAGTGACGGTCACTAATAGAAGTGGCAGTGAAATGACGATCGCTAATAAAAGTGGCGGTGAAGTGATGGTGAAGTGACGATCGCTAATAAAAGTGGAGGTGAAGTGACGGTCGCTAATAAAAGTAGCGGTAAAGTGGCAGTGAAGTGATGGTGAAGTGAGGGCTGCTGATATAAGTGATGGTGAAGTGACAGTAAGTTGATGTGGCACAACCACCCAACACCCCTCTAAACACCACCCCCTCACCCTCTCACCCACCCCCTGCTTTGAGTGAAACAAAGAACAGAAATAACAGAGACAAAACAGAAGAAGTAAAGAGAAAGGGTGAGATAATAATAATAATAATAATAATAATAATAATAATAATAATAATAATAATAATAATAGTGACAAACTGGACATACAGGATAGACAAACACAAACACTTAACAAAACAATAAACAAGGCAGTAATGCCGCCCCCCCTTTTTATGTAATTATAATGTGGGTAGTTATCAAATCCTATGTAGGGGTTTAACCTTCCCCTGATGAATTTGGAGAGAGAAATCAGCTCTCAATATATTGTAAAAATTGTGACCAGGTTTCCTGGTGTGAGTCTTTCCAGGTTGCAGTGATCCATGAGGAGGTTAAGCCAATGCTTTATTGAAATTTTGGTTTTGTTTTGGATCTGACCCATGCCTGTTTCCTAACAAGAAGTTTGGACAACGCTTTAACCAGTAAAGCCTCTTTTTTCAATTCTATCCGTCTGGTCAGTTCTGCCGTGTTACAGTAGTCATTTATGACCTCGTAAACTGGCAGGTTAAGAAAGAGGGCTCAAAAGATTTCATCAGAGTTAGCTGCCAAACTGATCCAAACCAAGAGGACATCAGGGTGAGAAAGGTATAAACTGGCTTGGGGGACAGACCGAAGTACACTACAACACTTCAAGTACTCTTTTACTAGAAAAAGAAAGACTGTAATCTGCAAATTACACTATGACTCTTGGAAATATTTTACATACTATGATGGATTTGCATTCTTCTAACGTCTTTCAGGTACCAGTGCCTACAGTGAGAGCTGTCCTCCAGGGATCAGGAAGGCTGTGCAGAAAGGAAAACCAGTCTGCTGCTACAACTGTAAACCATAAAAAAAGGAGAGATTAGTAACAAGACATGTTGTGTTTCACAATACAGTGGGCAATTATGTTGTGGAAAGTCACTTATTTATTTATTTATTTATTGATTGATTGATTGATTGATTGATTGTCTTTCTGTCACATTGAAGGTTCTGAATAGACTTTTCTAAAATCTTTTTTAATCTATTAGATTATGTACGCTGTCCTCCTCACTTCTGGCCCAACACCCAGCAAGACAGCTGCCTCCCCAAGCCTGTGGAGTTCCTGTCTTGGGACGACACTCTGAACATCATCCTGACAGTGTCCTCCATTGCTGTGGCCTTCATAGCTGTATTCAGTCATCTGAGCCAACAACTCAGAGCTGAGCTTCCTGCTGCTCTTCTCACTGACTCTGTGTTTCTTCTGTTCACTCACTTTGGTCGGCCCTCTGAGTGGTCCTGTATGTTGCGTCACACAGCATTTGGAATCACCTTCGTCCTCTGCATCTCCTGTGTTCTGGGGAAAATAACAGCGGTGTTAATGGCCTTCAGAGCTACACTTCCAGGCAGTAATGCCATGAAATGGTTTGGGCCTCCACAGCAGAGACTCAGTGTTCTCACCTTCACTCTCATACAGGTCCTTATTTGTGTGCTTTGGTTGTAAACATCACCTCCGCTCCCTTTAAAATGTAGTGCACCAAAAGGAAAGGATAATACTGGAATGTGGATTAGGTTCAGCTATAGGTTTCTGGGCTGTGCTGGGTTATATAGGATTTCTGGCAGTTTTGTGTTTTATTTTAGCTTTTCTAGCACAGAGGCTGTCTAACAATTCTACACAGCATCTGTTTGCTAATGTAATTTAATTGGAAATTATCATTCTTATCTAATATGTTGAACTGTCTTATGTTGCTTTCAAAAATAAGCAATAGAAGTTGACAGCAGCATGTATGATATGGGAGAGAACAATATTGGAAGGGAATTGGCCCCGTCCAAATTGCGGAGAAGAAATGGGTACCCATACTGGTTAACACAAAAATATTATTTTCTTTCTATATAAAGTACATGAACATCATCAATGCTAACAGTTTATTCAAATAAATGCTCAATAATGCTGAAACACTACACAATGCTATGCTAGAAATAGAGCTTCTACTCACTCAAAATGGCCTATATAATAATTCCAGGTATATCTATGGTAGTTTCCCATGTATTTACAATAAATAACATCAATTTTCCACCCCGATACTTTAAAATGTTTAACAATAATTGTACATTTGGCCCTTTGAGAGGTTTCGTACATTAATTTTAAGACAAATTTTCAATATCTTGGGGTGATGGTGAAGTCTAAGGCAGATATAGGTTTAGTCACCACACAGTCTTTAGACTGGACCAGTATGCTTTTTATTAGTGAGAGAGAAAAGCCAGACGAGTGCTGCACATCTGTATGTTATTTACCCCTGGAATGCACTCCATTATACATACAGCACATTTAATATACAACAAAATAACGTAAATGCATCCTGGCAGGCAAATAAATATTTGACATCGGTAAAAAGAGAAAAGTCCACTGTTTAAAATAAATGGGTTTCAAGAAATGCCATATATAAAAAAATAAATAAATAAATAAATATATATATTTATATATTGTTTTTTTGGGAATACCATTTTCATAAATATGATGTGAGATTGTGACTAATTAGTAGGCAATCTTAATATTACATGCACACTCATAAATCTCTTTTTCAAACATATTTTTTAGGGAGGCAAACAAACAACTTATTCTTTGGCCCCTTTATTTTAATAGTGTGCAAACCATTATAAATCAGAAATGTTTAAGTGTTTTGTTGTCCTCATCTCACAACATATTTTTATCTATCACATTTATTTACAAGAAAAAATAAATTACAATTGTTTTTTCGTTTCTTTTTTTTTTTTTAATGTGTCATCTATATTACATATGTAGAACTTTACTGACCTCTGGCTGCTGTGTTTATGGAAAACAGGCATTAGTGTCTACTTTTAAACAAAATCAATCCTCTGGTTCATCAAGAGGTGTTTAGGTTGTGTTTATTCATGCTTCAAGTAGCACGAGGTAAGGTAAATTTGCATTGCAAGCCTATCTCGGGATGATGGCTGAAGTCAGTCAGGATTTGAACATAATTGTGGTCAGATAATCTATGTTTACAGTGTCCTCCAGTGTCTTTTGACTTATAGGAGAAACACAGAGAGATAACTGTGAGATGTCACTGACCTGCATTGTCTCCTAACCTCTAATAAACCATGGAGGCCTATCTAATGGCTCTATACATACAGGTGCCAGTATGGGGGTCTTCAAGTTGGTATTGTGGGAAAGAAAAAGGGCAGAAGTTGCTACTGAAATCCATAATGACAGTGTCTAGACTATTGTCCCAGGGAAGACAGGCCATGGGGGGCTGCAAGAGCAGGAAGCAGTTGCCTGCCTGTGCTTTGGAGAGGCTCCTGATGGCGGAAAGCCAGGCTCTCTGTGTATAAGCTTGTTTTGTAGACAGATGTAATTGCCTTAATCACCTGTTGACCAAGTATCTCGTTTTTTGTTTTCCATCTACTCACTAAAGACAGACATGCACATTTACAACATATATACTTTTGTCTGAAAACTCTTTTTTAAATTTATTTTACAATAAAATAAAAAATCAGAAATAATCCTAGAAAAAAGAACATAACAATTACATATAAGCACAATTACATAAGTACTTAAAATGTTCATTTACTCTGAAATAATGCTTTAGATCAGTCCTAAAAGTAAAAGTGTATTATAATCAATATGAACAAAATGAGTATAAATATTGTTCTATATTCTGATATTTCTTACAGCAGGTTCACCACCATAATGAGACATGCAACAAGGAGTTATGGCCATTGTAATTAACACTAAGCACATAACCACGCCTCCTGTGCAAAGTGCACACCCACAGTTACTCGAACATCACACCAAGGTGGGATATTTAAAGCACTGTGAGGCAGTCATCCTGGCTTTCAGAGTGCTGGAAGTCATGCAGCTCAGTTTAAGTCTGATGTGGTTTGTATCAATGCTGTGGATAACTGTGTTCAGCACCGCAGGATGTAAGGCTGATCCGGTCAGCTGCAGACTGTGGGCTCAGTCTCAGTTGTCTGGTCTTTCTATGAATGGAGACTTTGTGATTGGAGGGATTTTCTCCATTCATAGTTACATGACTTCACAGCAGAACACCTACACCAGACAGCCACCGCAGCCACAGTGCTCTGGGAGGTCTGTCTGTGTCGAGGGAGGAATGATAATACATTTCATTGCTTATTATTATTTTTTTTTTTCAGTCATACATTTGCTGTTGTCGTTAATGACACCAGAAAAATTTCAAGTGAGACATCAGAAATGAAACTTTTTGCATTTTTATGTCTGTTTTAATGTCTCTAAACAGTATGGATTTCAGGGAGCTGCGCATCGCCCGTGCCATGGAGTTCGCCATTCACGAGATCAACAACAGAACAGATCTCCTGCCGGGAATCACGTTAGGATACCAGATACGCGACTCGTGCGCTGCCGTGACAATGGCAATAAAAGTTGCATTTCAATTAGCGAACGATGTGGAGTCAGTTTTCAACGACATTGATTCCTGTTCAAAATCCCCGGCCGCTGCTGTATCTGCTATTATAGGAGAGTCTGGCTCCACACCTTCAATTAGCATGGCCAGAATGCTGGGTCTCTTTGGAATTCCACAGGTGAAAGCTCTAGGCTACAGCTTTGTGTCTTACAACAAAAATGTTAAAAATTGTATTAATTCACTTTGGTGTTTCAGAATGATTTAGCATCTGAAAAATAATGTACAAATATTCCCACAAATTGACAAGAGGCTTGCTAACACTTTTTTCTTCTTTCACTCAGGTGAGTCACTACGCAACCTGCGCATGTCTGAGCGATAAGCGTCAGTATCCTGCCTTCTTCAGGACTATACCAAGTGACCACCACCAAGCGGCCGCACTAGCAAGAATGGTCAAGCATTTTGGCTGGACATGGGTTGGGGCAGTGCGCAGCGACTCAGACTATGGAAATAATGGAATGGCGTCGTTTCTAAAGGCTGCGCAGGAGGAGGGCATCTGTGTGGAGTACTCCGAGTCCTACTACAGAACACAACCGCGCAGTAAACTGGAGAGAGTGGCAAACGTCATCCGCAGATCAACAGCCCGGGTAATAGTAGCGTTTCTTGCCGCAACAGAAATGAGAGTTATCATGGATGAACTGGCAAGACAGCCGCTGCCCACCCTTCAGTGGATCGGCAGCGAATCGTGGATCACCCATCCAGAGTGTCAAAAATATAACATGTGCGCTGGGGCGATAGGATTTGGAGTCCCTCGCTCAGTGATTCCAGGTTTTCGTGAGTTTCTTCTGGATCTCTCTCCAGCACAAGCACTGAAATCGCCTCTGCTAACGGAGTTTTGGGAGCGCTCGTTCAGCTGTAGCCTAAAAGGCTCCTCAGAGGGCGCGCAACAATGTGACGGCAGCGAGGATATCCGCGCGCTGCAGAACCCATACACAGACACGTCGCAGCTTCGCGTGACTAACATGGTGTACAAAGCTACGTATGCCATAGCGCATGCCATCCACGGTGTTATCTGTAATGACATGCAGTGTGACAAGACAACTAAAGTCACACCGTTGCAGGTATAAAACTGCTGCATTTAAAAACACCCCCCTAGCTTGCCTTGCCATTGAAGGAAGCACGATATATTTTTTAATTGTATTAATACAAATCAGGTATATCAATCAAATATTCTCCATACTGAATGGATGTTCATTATTAGTGTTTCAGTAATTTTATAAACATTAGTTCACCGTTCCGTTTATAGTTTTTCAAATTATGAACTACAGATACTCGACCAGCTCAAGAGAGTGAACTTCACTACACAGAATGGTTATCAGGTCACATTTGATTCCAATGGTGATCCTGCAGCCGTCTATGAGCTCATAAACTGGCAGACTGAAAAAGATGGCTCAATAGATGTTGTCACAGTTGGCCGTTATGACTCATCCAAACCAAGAGGTCAAGAATTCAGTATGAGCAGAGCTATCAGCTGGCTGGGGGGACAGACTGAGGTATAACACTAAAGCAAGAAAAAACATTAAACTGTGCATAATGTTATGACACTTTGAATTTTTTATTGCATTTTAGGAATAGTTTGCATTTGTCTATTGACTTAAAGGTGCCAAGATCTGTGTGCAGTGAGAGCTGTCCTCCAGGAACCAGGAAGGCTGTGCAGAAAGGAAAGCCAGTCTGCTGCTATGACTGTATACCATGTGCAGAAGGAGAGATCAGTAAAAACACAGGTTGTGTATCACAATACAGTGGGCAGTATTGTTGGGGATTTGGTTTGTTAGTTTTTTTTTCTTTCTTTCTTTCTCTTTTTGTTCTATCTAATTTAAGATTCTCAATATTCTTTCCTTATCTCTTAGACTCTTTGAACTGTGTACAATGTCCTCATGACTTCTGGCCCAACACCCAGCAAGACAGCTGCCTCCCCAAGCCTGTGGAATTCCTGTCCTGGGACGACACTCTGAGCATCATCCTGACAGTGTTCTCCATCACTGGGGCCTTTATAGCTGTATGTGTGGCTGCTCTGTTCTACAAACACAGAACTTCCCCCATTGTCCGAGCCAACAACTCAGAGCTGAGCTTCCTGCTGCTCTTCTCACTGATTTCGTGTTTCCTCTGCTCACTTACTTTCATTGGTCAGCCCTCTGAGTGGTCCTGTATGCTGCGTCACACAGCGTTTGGGATCACCTTCGTCCTCTGCATCTCCTGTGTTCTGGGGAAAACAATAGTGGTGTTAATGGCCTTCAGAGCTACACTTCCAGGCAGTAATGTCATGAAATGGTTTGGGCCTCCACAGCAGAGACTCAGTGTTCTCGCCTTCACTCTAATACAGGTCCTAATTTGTGTGCTTTGGTTAACAATTTCACCCCCTTTTCCTTTCCAAAATCTAAAGCACTACAAGGAAAGGATAATACTGGAATGTGGATTAGGTTCAGCTATAGGTTTCTGGGCTGTGCTGGGTTATATAGGATTTCTGGCTCTTTTGTGTTTTATTTTGGCTTTTCTAGCACGGAAGCTGCCTGATAACTTTAATGAAGCCAAGTTCATCACATTCAGCATGCTCATATTCTGTGCAGTTTGGGTTACCTTTATCCCAGCCTATGTCAGCTCTCCTGGAAAGTTCACTGTAGCTGTAGAGATATTTGCTATTCTGGCTTCAAGCTTTGGTTTGATTTTTTGTATTTTTGCTCCCAAATGTTTCATAATCATGTTTAGACCAGAACAGAATACCAAGAAACACCTTATGGGTAAAGGAGCCTCCCAGTCTCTTTGAGGCCCTAACACAAATTGTGTACATCACACTCTGGTTTAGCACCCACATAGCTTCACTAATACATAATTTTACATGAATTGTATTTCATGTTTTTATGTGTAAATATGTATGTAATCATTTCATATTTACAACTTAGTTGATATATATATATATATATATATATATATATATATATATATATATATATACATATATATATATATATATATATATATATATATATATAATGGCCTGAAAATGAAATCTTGGTGATCGTTATAGAAAATGTATTATATTACATGCGAAAATAAAGAATTGGAGGCTTCTATAAAAATATCCATCTTTTAAATGGGGGAGATAAACTTGGTATACCTGAACATCATGTTTATATGTGCATTTTGAACACCTAATTGGGAATAGTCCTTGGGAATTCATATGAAATTGAGTCCCTCTTTTCTCCTATACAGCCATCTACTCTTATGGGAAGGCTTTCCACTAGATTTAAGATTACAATGGGTTCTTTCAGCCCCAAGAGTATTAATGAGTTTGGGCTGATTAGGGCTGGCTTAGTGTTCCAGTTGATTTCTAATTTCTTTAATGGGGTTGTAGTCAGAGCTATATGCAGGTCAGTGAAATTCTTTATGGACCTTATTTCATTTACCTAAGAATTGTCATACTTAAACAGGGCAAAGACTTACCTGTCTGTTCAGTGAGATCCAGATGTGTACAGATAATGAATTGTGAATATGTTTGTTCATTTAGTAAGTGTTTAACTGTCTCAGGACAGTGTGTTATCAGCAGTTATGCAGGGGCTGGTTTCACGTTTTTCAATAGAAGCATGTGTGATGGTTAGTGGTGGTTGTGAGGGGGGTGCCTATAGGGTAATTCAGATAGTACATCACTGTATATCATTTTAGATGCTTATCTTGCATATTCCTTACATTCTACTAATTATCATTTAAATTTAGCAACTTTGACATGACTGTTACCCTGACCTTAACCCCAACCACCTAACCATCACTCTGGTCCAAACCTAAATCTACTAGTACTAATCCCTGCCCTGCTGAGAATCAACTAACTTTCAACAAATAGTTTGATAATGAAGTTAACATATACAGAAAATCTGTTGGGACCTTTCCAAATAAAGTCACCCCTAGTAGATGGGACTCAGCCTTTACCAGGATGGGGAGAAAACTTGGGTACACACAAACATGACATGCACATTTGTTGAACATCCTATACTTAATCCGATGGACATTTTAATGGATTTGCTCCCCTGTCCAGCAACTGAAAGAGCAGAATGTGCTGTCCAATAACTTTGCATAAGGGACAGTAAGAAAAGAAATGGCTTTATGTTTTATTAGAAGCAATTTAATAAGGGGGGTGTACCAGTGCCACATTATTTGGACAGCACTCTGCAAATGCTTCAAAGACGCTTCATAGATCATTGCATTAACTATCTTTTAGATTGCACATTATTTACCCTAAATCTATTCTTAATATCAACTCAAAACACAAAACTTCCCAGCTGGCCACCAACGTCATTAGACACTGATATCTGGCTGAATGTAGACTGTGACATTGTCAAGTAAACGTCTAATCCCAAAGTCACTTTAGTGTAAAGAACTGAGAGAGCTGAGTTGAAATTTTGTTGGTTCTAAGTTGTAATGTTAAGTAACTAAAATCCAATGTCTTTCAAACTTTACATGCCAACGTTATATCGACATAGAATACTGACATGTAGTCGTGAGTTATGGTGACCAAAGCCCAACATCTATTTAACGTCATAATCTTAACATCAATTTGACATGACATTCTAACATCATTAGATGCTGATATTTTGTTGTTGTTAAGTCATAGTGTTGCATAACCATAATCCGATGTCACCCAAACATGTCATGTCAATGTAAAACTGATGTAGAAAATCGACATTTAGTCATGAGGTATGGTGACCAAAACCCAACATCTGGTAAACATCATAATGTTATTGTCAATTTGATGTGACATTCTAACATGAGGGGATGTTGGCATAAGACACTCGGAAGATGTTGTATTTTGGTTTGCCTGACACCACAATTTTAAACCAACAAAAAAACAATGTTATTATGATATTAGAATGTCATGTCAAGTGGTGTGGCATCAGGCAAACCAAAATCCAACATCTTCCAAACGTCTTATGCCAACATCCCCTTGAAAAATATGCTCTGTCTGCTACACATTACAATGTTAACCTTAAATGTTGATACGTTGTTGGCTCAGCGGTGTTATCTAACCAAACCCAATATCTGCTAACATCTGAATATGTTACTTTCATATTGTAATGCAGAGGTTCTCAACCATTTATACCTCAAGGCCAACCTGTTTATGACCAGAAAGCAGTAAGGCCCACAAGAAAACAAAACTCAACATTGTTGCTTAAAAATGTCATTTTTGAGAAACTTTTGAGAAACTTTTTTCAGTGATACACTGTAAAAAAAATTATAAAAAAACGGTAAGATGTCTGGCAGCAAAAGTTCCCGTAATTTTACAGTAAAATGTTGTACAGTGGACTACTGTAAAATTACATCTTTTCCCAGTATATATTCTGTGTAATTTTACAAGCAAATTTTAGTAGAATTACAAATTTCTTATTTAAAAATCTCTAGAATGTATTAAAATCATGGAAATACTGCATAAATACACTTAAAGTCTACAATTTGAAGGCTGCTACATTTAAAATAACAGTGTAATTAGGTTATTTCATAGAATTATTTAATCAATCAATCTACAACATGCACCTGTCAAAGTACAGATTTTTAAAGTAAAATAAAGAAACCTTAACAGACATAATCTGTAAATAAATGTTCTTATCCTACACATTTACAGTGGATAACAGTTAAATGTTGGTTGATCTGCCTACCAACTATTACAATGTACTGTTTATCCACAAGATACCGCTGTTACAGCATTGGATTCTACTGGTTAAATACAGAAATACAATGCAAAATTACATGTAATTACCTCAATATTAAAGTCGATGGTTAATGTATTTTTATTTTATCATTCAGTATATTCACCGAAATCTGGCATATACCAGAATTTTGTGCTCATTTTGTTATATTCCAGTTTTTATACAGGAGTCAATATACTCAACTACATGAGCATTTTGCACAATCACCTTTTACTTCAGCAGATAAAACAATGGTGTGCTGTAATTTTACATAAATACACAACAGCCAATACAATATTGCTCTTTTAAAACAATGTAAAACCTTTGGCCAGAACAATAAAACCTCAACAATAATACATACTTTCAATCTTTATATTTTGACAGTTGAACTTTAACAATCATGACATCACCCAGCAACCTAGCATTCAAAATAATCACCAAACTGAGGCAAAAAGATAGCTACTGTGAATCTTTCTACAGTTTTAAAGATTTATAATGCCTGTCTAAAACATAAACAATAATGTGAATTAGAGCACTAATTACCTCCTGTATCATTCTTGATTTATCTGGATTTTGGATTGTAACAGCAAATCTGATTGGAACTGCACGAGAAAAAAGTTTCTTGATTTCATTTACACATGTTCAAACCAGCAAGAATAAGCAACCACACTACACTCAGGACTTAGCTACACTGAATATGCCTCTAGAATGAGGACTTTTAATTGGCTAATACAAAACACAAGGGTCCATAACAGAACCTCATGCTGCAACAGTTATTACAGTCCTTAAAAGGGGCCCACACACAGTTGTGTCACGCTTCCGGGTTCTCCTCCCTTGCCTAATAATCTCCAGGACTCCAATTCCCATGATTCCAATCCTGATGTCACTCCTTCCACCAATCACACACAGCTTCCTCGTTCTCAGTCACCTGAGTATTAATGCAATACACCTGTGTTTGTTTGTCCCAGGCTTTAAATAGTTTCTGGTTTGTTCTCCTCATTGTGAGGTATTGCCCTTCACTGGACTACTGAGCATTTCTCTACTGGTTTCCTGACTTGTGTATTGGACCCTTTGCCTGTTTTTTGGATATTGCGTTTTTGTGTTCGCCCTTTTGCTCTGGTCGCTTGTGCATTTTGTATCTTCTGGTTTTTTGACTTTTTGCAAGGCTTTTGGATTCTGATTTTGGTTTTGCCCTGAAACTGTCTGACCATCTTACTAATCTCTCATTAAACCACTTTCTTTTTAAGATCCGCGAGCGTCTTTCTGTGCTTGTGCAGCATTACAAGTTGTTAAGGGCAGTAAGATGGAAAGTGTGCTGACAATACAAACTCAATTTTCTTAAACTTTTATTTAACTGACAAAAGCACAAAGAAATTGCTTTTAATGTTTTGGCTGATGAACTCAATTGTATTTGTGAACATAGACAAATCTCAGTCCATGTAGGGCAAGGCCAGAAACCACTGCTGAATGTGTGTGATCTTCAAGCCCTCAGACGGCACTGCACGAGAATGGAGGGAGTATATCAGGAGTACTTTGGAAAGCCATTGTGTCTTAACAGTCCGCTGCTACATCAAGAAACGCAACTTTAAAACTCTATTGTGAAGGAGAAAGCTGTACATCAATTCTATGCAAGAACATTGGTGAATTCTCTGGGCCTGAGCTCATCTCAGACCATCTTAAAGACAGCTAAAATGTGTGCTGTGGGCAGATGTGTCCACGTTTCAGTGAAAGGTCCAACAGCATGGCTTTATAGACACAGAGTGTGTGTGCCTTACAGGCCTGCCTGCTGTCCAGATCTGTCTCCTATTGAACATGTATGGCACATCATGAAGAGCAGAATCATACAATAACAACCACAGACTGTTGAGCCAGAACTCAATGAGTTCTAAGCATGATTGGGCAAAAATTCCACTTACAAAACTGTAACAATTAGTATTGTCATGTCCCAAACAATTAAAAAGTGTTATTAAAAGATGATATAACAGAGTGGTAAACGTGCCTCTGTCCCACCTTTTTGTTGCAGGCATCAAATTCTAAATTTAGTTTAAATAAGTTGATCAGTGAAAACATTGGAAATGTTCTAACTTTTCTA